CCGACCAGTCACACTTGAGTTTTGTTTTCTCTTTACTGAGGGGCTAAATGACCTCAAAGGCCGAGGAACAATGCAGGTACTTGAGAAGGTTTGACAGGTGGAGCTGGGAGGTGGCCCTGGTTGTGTAATAATGCATGGACTCCCTCCAAGCTGACGCAGGGCACAATGCCCTTCAGGGACAACTGTAGATCAGGGAAGGTTTACAGATCTTTCTTATCAAGGTCCACCGTAACAGATGCAGAGACAATGGGGATGAAGCTGACAGAGAAAGATGAACTCAATTTGAAATCACTCGTCTCTGAAATGATTGGATACCAGCTCAAAATTAATGATCAAAGCTAAACTGTAATAAATGCAACATTAAAAAACATGACTTCAGGCTCCCAAGACGAAATACAAGTTGATATTAGCAAGGACCCCAGAAACAGTGGAGACAGAAGCTGAAGATAGAACTCAGTTTGAAATCACCTATCCCACAGGAACTGAAATGAAAGGATTCAAACCAGTTTCAAATCAAGGATAAAAGCTACAAACTTTCGTAATAAGTGTACCATTGAAAAATCTAATTACGGTATCCCAAAAGGAAAACAGAAGATAATAACAAGGATCCATGACGCATTAATTTTTTACCAGTGTCTGCAATATGTCATCATTCTTGTGTTTCATTGAAAACAACCACATCATTAAGTTTACGAATCAGATAAAGCATTCACATCTGCAAATGCGGCAATAATTCCAACTCAGTCCATTGAACCAATATTTCTCCAAGCATACTCGTTCAAGTGTAATCTGAAGATACACAGTGCTGTAACAATGAGGTGATGTAGTGTACTCATAAACCATATCCACCACTCCAGCACTTGGTGTAAGCCCACCATGAAAGTCTGTCATCGACCCACAGAGTGACCTTTGATCACCCAGCATAGTTCACTGGTCCCTTCAGTGAAGCAAATCTCCCAAGTGTTGTATAATATGATAAGTACAGCACCATTTATCAGTGTAGGACATATATTCCCTGTAGATATTGACAGAGTAGTGGGGATCAATGACCTCCGTTACATGGGGGGTAATATAACCACAATCTCTGTTCCATGATGGATTATAGAGCTATGTGCGTACTACCTGACCCACGACTAATGTTAGACTAATGTTATCACTGTCAGTGTTGTGTTTACAGATAACATTCCTGCTTCTACAGGTTATGGTCATTTCTTGGTTTGAAATTTAATGATCCGTTCCCGAACACCTGGGTTGGACTGCTGGAGAAATGCCATTTTGGAGAAACCAACAAGTACGGGTATGGTGTTGACAAACCTAGAAACATAACCAGGACAAATCTGGGATTCAAACCATGACCATAGGTTCCTGGTACACCTAAAGGATGCAACTCTGCAAAGCGAATTCTTGCCCCTAAGACACTGGGCCAAGCTCTTCTGTACTATACAATACTTAAAAATAATTAACTTTAAAAGAGGACTATGTGTCCATTTTCTGTCCACGTCTAGACAGTGTAATAGATGACAAGTTGGTGCAATGATCGACTAATGTCAAACTGAAACATTGTCTGTGTATGATTTTTAATTTTTGTTTTGTTTTTGTTCAAGTTTTGTTACCAGCAAAGTGGGTTTGGAATGACTTAAATCAAATTTGAACTAGTTCCACTGTTGGCGTAAACAGAGAGCTAAGAATTTTTATCCAACAGATGGCAACTAAAAAATGTGGTACAAAACTGTACCATATTCGGTTATAGCTGTGCAAAATAGCGTCATCCTTAATTACTAATGTAAATATACTAGGAGGCATGTCTACACCTCAAAAGCAATAAAAATTACTACAAACTGCTCTGCTGATGTAGTTTTTGGCAACAGCAATTTTACTTCAGTAACAAACTTCACTTAGTCGGCTATTTGTTGTTATTCGATACCTAGGACCGTTAAACACTGTTCAGCGTTGTCCAATCACAGCCTATGAGAAATCAGTCCAAAACCTGTCTACTCATTTTGACAGAAGCCTGGTCAACAATTCTCCTGGACTGCCAATTTCCAAAAGCCAAGTCACCCTTTAAATGCCATCACAAATTGGTTGCCTGTTCCCCTATTAATGTGATGATGGGAGCTGGTATCACAGTCTACATCAGTGTAACCGTGATGAGATGTAAATGGCAATTACAGACCTGCACACAACGTCACAGGCACAAAACACCTAGCACATTTTTAGCGTTAACTTTGATCTTGACAAAGTGGAAGTCGGTCTTCTCAAGTCCCAACTGAACTGTGCCCCAGTATCAAAGTGAATGCTAAAGTAACTCAATGTAATATTAATGGACTTCACAATCACAAGATAAGCAGCATGATAGATAAAACACCACTCATACATGGGGCTCTCTCGGGTCTGTGTCACATGAACGTCCTCGAGGTCGTCTTCCCACCTGTCGAGGTCGTGGATGCTCTCCGCCTACCACAGCATCGAGACATGACCTTGTTGACATTGTTGAGGATTTGTCCAGGATGTCAACATGCAGACTTACACACAAGCTATATGGCTTTTTTGGACATTGGTCAATATAAACCATGGAGTGTTAAATGAGCGCTGAGAGTGGGAGTTGATGTATTGATGGTTAATACCAGAACACATCAGAGATCAATAACCAGGTGGACGTGATGGAGAAATTATAGGTCTGGACATGGTGGGATAATTTATCATATCCTCAACTACTGCAGCAAATTCCATCAATAAAACACAGAAAGAGTTGGAAGAAGAAAAAATCAATATCAAAGTTCAAATGTGAAAACCTTTAAACACAGCGACAATGAGCATTTGAGGATTAAATAATGAGGATCTAAGATTTATACATTGATCCAATCTCTCAACCTGTTCCAAAAGTTCTGATTCCCAGAAGTTTTAAGAGAGCATGGTTTTATGCCATCTTCCAGCTAGGTGGCAGAGGAGACCGCCATAATGGGCTTCACACATCCTTCTCATGTCAGGAATCCAACCTGATTCAACATGACAAGCGAACACCTTAACCTCTAGACCACCCTCAATCACTGAAACTTTCATGTATATTAGTGTAACTGGTTCATCACCAAAAATAGAAAGCACTTTGTCCTGATTATTCAAACAACCACATTTGCATGATGGCCAATTGTGAACACTACTACAGACACAGTGAAAAATTTATCATGTTTTCAAGCATCAGCGAAGATGAGATTCGAAGCCAAACAACATTGTTGTCTCATACTAAATAGACAGAACAACTTAAGTTCATTATTGTGACCATTTTGACAAATATTACAAGAAATCTAATATGCATTTCAAAGTGTCAGTATATGTGTAAATAATGTAATATTGGAACAATTTTATTTTTTTTATCAAAGTTTAAATGTGTAAAACTTTACAAAATCAGAGCAACACCATGCACAAGAGTTTAAAGAAATGATTTAAATCTTAAAAGTAATACCATCCCTCTGAACCTGTATTGCCAAACTTTTCATTCCTGTAAATTTAACTGAGTGAGTTTTTACTCCACTTGCAATATTCAGCTGGAGACTCAAAGAAAGTGCTTCACAGATTGTACCCATGTTGGGATTCGAACCTGGTTTTCAGCAAACACCTCAAACACTGGGCTACCCCCATTACACTGTGAATTAACATTAGTGTCAGCCTTCATAGCCTTAAGGAGAAAACAATTAGCCTTGGTAATTAACACAACCACATTTGCATAACGTCCAACTGCGTAATGCTACTCTGTGTAAACATCGTAACAACTTCCGTAATCAAACCCAGATCCCAAGGTCAGCCCCCAGTCAGCTAATTTGCATATTCATGACTGTCCTGGAGTGATTAATGTGCCTGGGGACATGTATCCGCACAGCACCCAGGACGAGGGAGTACAGAGAAGGATGTTACTGACACAGACCCTGGCAGACGGCTGTGAGCCAGTGTGCACACTACATGCAGCACATCCGCCCAGCGGTGGCGGGGTGATTAACGAGGAAAATTAGGCAATTAATTTTATTGACAACCCAAACTAGATAATTACGTGATAACCGCGCAACACATCAGAAAAAACCTGTCTCATATTAAGCAATGTGTTGAAGGAGATGGCAATAACATGTCCTTGGCTGTAGAAACTAGAGATAGAACGATATGTGGATTGTGGTGAATAAAGAGATAAAAGGATCAGACCAGCGATATCATCGACTATTAATTTAGGAGTATCAATATGTAACCTGTCAGATGATGTTCCAGATTGTGTCTTAAAACATATACTCTAGAGGATCCTCTAAATCTGTAGTTGGTTAGCAATACGTCAGAATAAATCATTTAGACCCACATCACATCAATTTATTGTAGTCAAGTGTCAATGATGAAGCGTATTGCCTTCTCATTTGATGACATGAACAACATACTTTGTCCTACCAAACATTCCTACTACAAGTGAATCACACCTGTTAACAGCTAGTGCACACCGATGTCTTGAACAGTGTGCTAAACTTAAAATGTGTTGGGTTTTTTTAATTTAAAGGAAAATCTAGAAAAGTCATTTGTTGTGGCCTATACTGTAATTTATCCTCGAAATTTTCAGTCCAGTAAGCAAGAAAGATTTTCAGGTGTAAATATTTATGTGACCCTGAAGCATAACCATTTATTTCCATAAATAGTGCACTTCAAGGTCGTTACCACAGATGCGCTTTTAAGTTTTAGCGAAAATAATACATGTGTCTATGGATGCAGTTAAGGTATTTCCATTATCATTAAAACAGCATTCACAATCCAGAGTATATTTCCTCAAGAGTCTCCAACCAAAGGTCATTTTGGTTACCAAAGATGCAAATGTCCGATGGCACCAATATTGCAGCTTAGTTATTGATAAGCCACACCTCAATATCTCAAACATTCAAGACAAACTGGTGACAAGAACTTTGAACCTGTAAAACATTTTGGTTACCAATGTTGGTAACGTCCGATGGTGCCAGGAATGTAAAGTGTCCACGTACCTGTATTGGGTAGCCACTCTCACTCCCCGAGCCACTGTACTGAGAGCCACTAATTCTGTCAGCATACTGAGGGTACCGCTGTGCAAGAACTGCCATGAACTGTTCACGTTTACGATCTGGTTCCTGCAACATTGGCAAACATACACATATATCTAAGTCTTTTAGCTCCACAATAGACCTGCAACATACCAAGGATCTCAAACATTGTCAAACATACCATACAGGATCTGAAACATTGTCAAACATATGCCATACAGGATCTTAAACATTGTCAAACGTGTACCATACAGGATCTGAAACACTGCCAAACATGTACCATATAGGATCTGAAACACTGTCAAACATATTCCTCACAGGATCTGAAACACTGTCAAACATATACCTCACAGGATCTGAAACATTGTCAAACATATACCTCACAGGATCTGAAACATTGTCAAACATATACCTCACAGGATCTGAAACATTGTCAAACATGTACCATACAGGATCTGAAACATTATCAAACATATCCCAAATAGGATCTGAAACATTGTCAAACATATACCTCACAGGATCTGAAACATTGTCAAACATGTACCTTACAGGATCTGAAACACTGCCAAACATGTACCATATAGGATCTGAAACATTGTCAAACATATACCTCACAGGATCTGAAACACTGTCAAACATATACCTCACAGGATCTGAAACATTGTCAAACATATACCAAACAGGATCTGAAACATTGTCAAACATATACCTCACAGGATCTGAAACATTGTCAAACATATTCCATACAGGATCTGAAACACTAACAAACATGAACCATATAGGATCTGAAGCACTGTCAAACATATACCCCACAGGATCTGAAACACTGTCAAACATATACCTCACAGGATCTGAAACACTGTCAAACATATACCTCACAGGATCTGAAACACTGTCAAACATATACCTCACAGGATCTGAAAACTGTCAAACATATACCTCACAGGATCTGAAACATTGTCAAACATGTACCTCACAGGATCTGAAACACTGTCAAACATATACCTCACATGATCTGAAACATTGTAAAAAAAATATACCTCACAGGATCTGAAACATTGTCAAACGTACCTCACAGGATCTAAAACACTGTCAAACATATACCTCGCAGGATCTGAAACATTGTCAAACATGTACCTCACAGGATCTGAAACACTGTCAAACATATACCACCACATATAACACTGCCATCATGAAGCTATCATAGTTGTCAGACTTGATTTCCCCAGGGGATCCAGAGGTAACGAAGGTCCCATGTTACAAGTAAAACATGTTGCTGTAAGAGCCGACTAATGAGGATCGGATGGTTACAAAGTGTTTGAAAGACATGGATCATAACCTTGAAGTCTTTGACTGACGATTGATCAGTTACATGGATGGAACACTACTGAATGCTGTCGAAAACATGATTCAATCAATTGCTTCAACACAAACCTATTGTTATGACTTGATTTACTGTAGTGCGGTCAGATGAACCAGTGGTCGACATAATGAGCATGTCCCAAACTGCCAGGGTATCATGAAAACCACAGCCCACTGCCCAACTACCGGATTCAAACCTTACAAACAGCAATAGAGTGTTGGAGACTGGGGTGCTTTAAAGAATACTACCAGGTGAGATTCACAGTACCATCACAAACTAGGATGTGTCACTGAATTAAAAAAGCGAAGTGGTGAACTTTATTATGCAAAAAGTGGTGTACAAGTCCAAATATAGATTGTGGGGGGGGATGTTATAACGGTGTGTGGGATGTTATAATGATATGCGAGGTGTTATAACGATGTGTGGCAGGATAGTCTCACATCGTGTGATTGAACTAGACATCCATTTTGAGTATATGCAACATGAAAAACCCATTACAGTTTGTTATTTCAAGATCTTTCAGATCTTTCAAGGATTTATTTCACATTACATAAATTCAGGCTCTTATCTTGAAAAGCATGAAAATGTCACGACATTTACTCTCCACATGAAGCATGTGACACATGCATGTGTTGCAAACGATATACAGCGTCTTCCCACTTCAACAAAACTAAAGTGCAATCACACTGTTAACAGTGACACAATAGAGGAAGAGGCTGGCTGACATTTCTAAAGATATAATCTGTTGCCATCCAGGCTGAATAAAATGTCTGTTCCCTTGACGTGTTGGATGTTCTGTAAACTAATGTTTTCATGAGGACTGACGAGTCCAACTTTAATACCTTGGTACCCAACCCCCTATTACCCCACCCTACCCTGGTACCCGCTGTAGCCCTCAAGAGTTGGGTACAAAATGTCCAACTGGGAATTGTTTTACCGAAGCCATGGTAAAAAGTATTCAGAAACATGTATAAAACGATCTGGTCATTCATACACTGAAGTTGACTGAAGCTTTATCTTTATTCAAACATATAAAAGTCAGAAGGAATGGTGGCAAAAATTGCAAACATTACCGATTCATAGTGTAACCATTGAGTTATAGTTAATTTTTCTCATTAAACGATACATCACGTGACTAAGAGGCGGTTGGGTAGCCTAGTGGTTAAAGCGTTCACTTAACATTAATACCCCACTCAGACAAAGCATACTGACTCCGAGCCGACCAGTCCTTGATTTAGTCCCTTAAAGCTGAGCTCCAGACAGGGTAACAACAAGTACCATTTTTAACGTCTTTTGGTCTAAGGCAAGGGATCAAACCCTGGACCTTCCTCTTTCCAGGCGTACGCTCTACTACTAGATCACGAAAGCGGTCCGGATTGGTTTGGATTGGATAGTAATGGTTCTGTCTGGATAGTGATGGAATAGTTTGGATAGTAATGGTTCTTTCTGGATAGTGATGGATTGGTTTGGATAGTAATGGTTCTTTCTTGATAGTGATGGAATAGTTTGGATAGTAATGGTTCTGTCTGGATAGTGATGGATTGGTTTGGATAGTAATGGTTCTGTCTGGATAGTGATGGAATAGTTTGGAGAGTAATGGTTCTGTCTGGATAGTGATGGATTGGTTTGGATAGTAATGGTTCTTTCTGGATAGCGATGGAATAGTTTGGATAGTAATGGTTCTGTCTGGATAGCGATGGATTGGTTTGGATAGTAATGGTTCTGTCTGGATAGTGATGGAATAGTTTGGATAGTAATGGTTCTGTCTGGATAGTGATGGATTGGTTTGGATAGTAATGGTTCTTTCTGGATAGTGATGGAATAGTTTGGATAGTAATGGTTCTGTCTGGATAGTGATGGATTGGATTGGATAGTAATGGTTCTTTCTGGATAGTGATGGAATAGTTTGGATAGTAATGGTTCTGTCTGGATAGTGATGGATTGGTTTGGATAGTAATGGTTCTTTCTGGATAGTGATGGAATAGTTTGGATAGTAATGGTTCTGTCTGGATAGTGATGGATTGGATTGGATAATAATGGTTCTTTCTGGATAGTGATGGAATAGTTTGGATAGTAATGGTTCTGTCTGGATAGTGATGGATTGGATTGGATAGTAATGGTTCTTTCTGGATAGTGATGGAATAGTTTGGATAGTAATGGTCTGTCTGGATAGTGATGGATTGGTTTGGATAGTAATGGTTCTTTCTGGATAGTGATGGAATGGTTTGGATAGCGACGTATTGTTTCTGATTACATCCGATAACCTTTGACTCTGCAATTAATTTATGTGAGTATCAATATGAAATAAAAATTTGAAAAGATGGTATTTTTGTTTGGAAATAATTTCATTTCATTTGATAGGTTTGGAAATTTTGCACTGAAACAGCCTTTAGGTCCAATGCAACGCACACACACACATGTAAGTATTCTAAATAAATCAAATGTTGTCTAACAGAAGCCAGGTACACTGCATGACCACACACAACCAAGGGGGGATTTCCTCACAGTTCCTGATCATTAGATGCCAAAAGAAATAAATTCTCCTTCTCCAATAACAAGGAATCCTCAGTACCTTCCACTAAAACACAGACACGACAGATGCTGAGATAGTTCTTTACTTCTAATTGCAATGGAGCCATGTGGGCCGGTCAGTCCTCCCCAGGGCTATCCCCGTGGTAATGAGGGCCATCGTACATCCCTGAACATCATGGTCATTACAGTAGGTCAGTGCAGGGGTCACTACAGAGGTCAGCTGGTCAGTCCCCTAATTCAGGGAGGCAGGCTTGACAGGACTGCTTAACTTTATATCCACGCTGGATCAACTGGAGACAATGTAAAGCCTGCTATTGGGAAAGAAATCCTCATTTGTGGCATCATGTCAAGACCAAAAAGTGGTCATTAGCTTGGAGTAGGCGTGTCCAGCCCTAATGATGGCCTTGTTACAGGGGAGATAACTGCTGGACATGTCAGACAGGAGTGAGTTATCACTGATTATAAGGATGCTTGCTGGTTTGTAGTCAGCGTTTGTTTGTTTGTTTGTTTGTTTTTAATGCTGCACACAGCCAAATTCCAGCTTTATGACGGCCTGAAAACAATTGAGTCTGGACCAGACAATCCAGTGATTAACATCATGAGCATCAGTCAATGTAACTGGGATATGAAGACATCTACCAACTGAAGACCTATTCTCTACCCAGTGTAAAGTCTGAAAGTATACCCCCCTTTCAAAGTATACCTGGGTAGATTCTGGGGCCTTCAAGAATCTTCTCCGGGTAGACTCTAAAAGGGGGTATATTTTAGCATCTTACACCGGATGTTCACGCGGTGTATTGAACTTATTCCAAGATAAGTATTATTATCTAAATTATTAAATATATATGGCCAAATCCATGAGGGTGGGTGTTTTGGGTTGGGTGTTTAAGTTTGGGTGAGTGAGTGAGTGAGTGAGTGAGTGAGTGAGTGAGTGAGTGAGTGAGTGAGTGAGTGAGTGAGTGAGTGAGTGAGTATGTGAGTGAGTTTGAACAGTCTTCCATTTATATCACAGAATGTCCGCTTTATTTAGGAGGCCTCAGTTATTTACACAAGCATTGGAATGATACAGACAAACCAATGATCATAGACAGCGAGCATGACCACTGGATTCTCTTACAAGTATAATCACCTCTTACGGCAGACATGGGTTGCTGGAGACCTATTCTAAACCACATCTTCACAGGTTTGACCA